GGTCAGATGGAACTAGCTCAGCGTAACCACTGGCAAGCATCCCTGACATGAATGTAACATAATCATGACAAAAAGACAAATCTTTGGTCAAACGTTTCTTGAGACTCTGTGCACGCTGTTCTGCAATGGTTTTATTGTTCAGCATGTTGAGGGCTTTTTCTCTCATGGGCAAAGCAATGCAATAATGGCCATTCACTAACCTGACTGACTCCGTAAATTGTTCATCTTCTTTGGATAGGCCAAGTTCTTCCTGTTTTGTTTCAGGGAAGTCAACCTTTAGCTGGTTTTCCCAAAGTTCATCCAACTTTGCCACCGAGATCCGATTAACTGTAACATCAGGTTGCAAGTCCTCAACACTGGCATGACATACTCCTCTTAGCGGGCCATTTACGGTCCAACCAAGGATGGTTTTAATGGCATAAGGACCTCCACCCTCTGCTCGCACAACCTCCCACGGCTCCAGTGCCTGAGGTACATTGGTCCCAATCAGAAGATCCACTTCTGCATTGATCTCCGGGATGTTTATGTGATTTAAATGTGGCCATCGTCGAAGGTCCTTCGTATATGGAATGTTTCCCCTGTGAACAGGCATGCTCTGTTGAGTGAAGATTTCTGGCAAGTCACAAAAATGGTCAGAGCCAAGTCCAGCTACTTCCAGGTCGGTGAGCATGTAACTGTCCACCACCTTTTCCTGTCCCATTGTCCGGAGGAGAATTCCCAACTTCTTTCCACTGAGGTTGAGTCTGTTCATGAGCCGCTCCGTGCAAAATGAAGCAGTGCTCCCTGGATCTAAAATGCATATGTCAGCAAAGACTCATGCCCTCTTTTGTACTTTACCTGGACAGGCAGGATTGATAATGTACAGTTCTGTTTTCCGGCCCCAGTTAACCCACTAGATTGAACAGACACCACAGCACCTTCTTTGGCCTCCTCTGAAAAGCTACTTGCCTGTGACAAACTACCTTGTCTAGATCTGGAGGGACCATGCAACAATGTGGGGTGCTTACGATTGCACACTCTACATGTCAGACGCTTCCTGCAATCTCGACTTCTGTGCCCAATGCACAAACAACCAAAGCACAATTTGTTTTCTTTCACAAAAGACATCTTTTCATCTTGAGTCTTCTTATCCAACAGAAGGCAAACATCCAACGCATGACCAGCTCCACAAAATTAGCAAATTTTTACAGGCAGGTTCTCTCCTTTATTCACAGGGTCATCTCTTTCTGTCGGCGTTACTGTAGTGGCAAAACTACTACCTTTGGGTTTTAGACTGGTCTGAGGAGTCACAGGCTTGAAGTCCCCTTTTCTTGTCCCTGGGGAGTCCTGTATGTCCCCAAACAGAGGGTCACTTACGATCTTCACTTGTCTCTCGACAAACTTTACAACATCGTTGAATGTGGCTCTACGAGAAAACCTTTCCTGAATATCACAGGCCACATTTCTCCAATGGTCCCTTAGCTTATACGGCAACTTCTTGATGATTGTTTGCATGTTGGTAGGAACATTCAGGTCTCCCACACAGTCTCCCATAGAATTGCAGCACTCACGGAGCAACAAACCGTAGGCCCGAAGCGCCTCCACGTCCTCACCTTTCACCACAGGCCAGGCCAGCACCTTCCCCATATATGCAGATGCCACTTTGAATGGGTCCCCAAAATGTTCTTGAAGCAGACTCTTAGCTTGAATGTAACCACAAGCAGGAGGCAGGTGTTGGCAGCTTCGGACCAAATCCCTGGGCTGACCTCGAGTATACTGTTCAAGGTAATATAAACGGTCTTTGTGGTTTTGAGTTTTGGCTTCAATATTGTGCTCAAAAGCACTGATGAAGGTCTGATATTGTAAAGGATCTCCGTCGAAGGTATGCAAGTCCCTCTTGGGCAAGAGAAAGAGTGACTGTTGTTCAACCAACAAGGATGTGATCTCATTTTGTTTCTCTAGAACCGTAAGTAAACGCTGATCAGATGTGTTCTCTGTTGTAAGTTTGGGTGGATCAAGCTGGGTGAGTGGAACATCTCGATATACTTCACTGCTGGGTAGCACTGACAGACCGGCCCCACTAACAGCAGTTTGGAGCTCAGCCTGGTAACTAACCTTAGGCTTTGTAGCAGCAGAACCTGAAAGCAGAGCACTCCCCGCGGGCTCTGTCTGTGATGACTGGGTGGTAAATGCAGGCACAAATGTAGGAGCATCTACATTTAACTGACCAGTCTTGGTTCTCTTCAAATAGGAATTCATCTCATCCGATGTAGCAGAAATGTGAGATCCTTCTGAGGCCTTAAATACACTTATTCTGGCCATAGAGGCAGCCAACTCCATGTCCAGATCAAGCTCCTCTTTCTTCCTCCTCAACAGCTCCTGCTGCTCCTCCATTTTCCTGCGCAGTTGCTCCTGCTGCTCCTCCAGAGCATGCTTCTCTCTCAGAAGCCTCTGCCGAGCCATAAGAGCGGCGGTCTCGGCCTCAGCCTTCAGTCTGGCAGAGGACGTGGAAGACACAGTGGAGGACACACACTTACTCACCACCGTGCTGCGCTTCTTTGATTGATTGGATACATTAGAGACACTATCACTCGGCCCGATTTCCTCAGCTGTATTTTCCAAACCCCTTCGTGCGCCTACACCACTGCCATTGGACAGAGGTGGATCTACAGATGGAGCAGATGGTTCAATGGCGCCCTCTGCCAGTCTATGTGGGACATTCGAAACAGCTGGCACCTCCAGGAGCCATTTATTTGTCTCCTCCACAAAGGTACTTTTATGCTCCTCCACGCTATCAAACCACTCGTTTTGTTTCTTTTGTTCATCAGGAGGGAGCATAGGAACAACTAGATCATGCAGCCGACAGGCCTCACTGTACAAACTGGACACAATCTCAAGACATGATCTTACCTTTTCAACATTTGCAGGATTTTTCTTCAGCTCTGTAATGTCCCTTATTGAACTTTTAATCCTTTTCACTTTTGCTTTTCTTTCATCTTGAAGCTTTTCCACTTTATGTTCCAAAGCTTTGGGAGTGAGTTTTGATTGCCTCTTAATTGTTTCATTTCCAACGTTTGACCTGGAATCAGTCTCCATTTTCATTCACAAAATCACAATAATTACAAACACAGCGCTTTATTTTTATTTTCTTATTTACTTTTATTATTTTTTATTATTTTATAAGTTTTATTAAAAGGGTACAAGTTGCTGAAAGAAATCTTATTCCCCCTAACTATCCACCGGCGCTAAGCTAACTCAACCCTAGTCTTCTGCACGTACTAGCGGTGGGTTGTTATGTACCTCGGATATACCGATAGACTGGAACCAGACAAACTGTCTCAGAACCAGAACTACGGCGGCACTCCCAAGCGCAATGCTTCACCCGCTTGACGCACAAGCGAAGCCCTAACCGGGTCCCTGAACAACGCGAAAGTGTTTCACCTTATGTGAAAGCACCACTAAAGCCTAGCCGGGGAATATGATTAACAATCAATCCAAAATATTTACAACAACATGCAGTACCTTTAATCAAAGTGGCTGTGACGTCATGTAGCGCAGCAAATTTGTGAATGAATGGGCTCACGAGAAATCCATGCGCGTTCACGTCTATCGTTCACAACTCCGAAAGCGATCCAAAACATCCAGATACTTGCACGACAATACGATGAAATCAACGCTTCAACAGCTTTCTGTTGACAAAATATTGCGGCGTATGTAGCCCAATGCTTATCCCACACGCCGCGGCGGGCTAAGCCACGGGGTAAAACACTGTGGACGCGTAACTCGGAACAAATGCATATACACGGTACTTGTTTGTCATATAGTAGGCATACGCGTTAGAGCACTTACTTTAAAGCTGCTGCCGTCCGTAGCCATGCACCGATACCTTCTATATGCAAATCTTTCCTGTTAAAATACGGTCAACAGAAAGTTGCTCCCCGTGCTCACCCCGCCACCATGATCCAAGCCTTACACTCAACAGGTGAGCGCGCTCATATATAGGCCACACCACACCCACCGTGCCACCCCCAGACACTGCAGTGTAGTGCACATTAGTCACGTGAGGAAACCAATAGAAAACCCACGAATGGCTCCTACAGGCATGATTAATCGATTAATCGATAATTGATCATTAAGAATTTCATCGATTACGTTCATTTTAATCAACAAACCGAATGTAGGTTGCTGTGCGTAGCGTGACCAAACAGGGGTCCGTACGTGTAGCTCTTTGCACTCAGAAGGAGCGAGCAAACACAAACAGTCGGTCAGTCTGCAACGCAAATGCGTATTTAACGATGATTTGTACAAGAAATTCCACGCTTTCCGTTGTGTTCGGGACAAGTGTGAGGCCATGTGCACAGTGAACAAAGCAGCACATATGTTTCGGTGTCCAGTGGGAAAAAGTTTTGCCAGGTGAGAGTCGCGCAATGTCAATGACGAGTCCCCACCTCCCTCCCCCCGTACGGTGTCCTGGTTTTGAAAAACGCAAATATGGTCACACTAACCTGTATTCCACTGAGTCATGTCTTTTAATCCAACAGAAGTTGACCGCATCAGCGACACAAGAGCTGTAGTTTTATCTTCGCTGAGTTTATGCAAATTGGCGATGCGGTTTTAAGTTTCGTTTTTTGTGAGAGTTGCGCAAAACTGCGTTAAACACATTATAATGTCAAACGGATTGATGTGGCTCTAGAGTCGTTACTGTTTATATGTCGTAAAGTTGAATTTATGTATGCAGGTTAGTAGTGCAGATAGTAATAATAATGATGATCATTTTAATATAAACACGTTAATGATTAATCGATAATTGATCGTTAATTCTTCCGACGATCGATTAAGAAAATTTCATCGAATGCCCATCCCTAGTCCTTATCTAACCCCAATACACCCTCCACCCCCCTCCTCTCCCCTTATTTTCTCTCTCAACCAGAGGTCCCAAAGGGTTATCAACATTTACAGCCTTATGTAACAGTTCCTGTTATTGTCCCAGCCTCTGCTCATTTACTTTTGCAGAAGCAGAGGAGCAGAGACAACATGATTTTCCAAACTCTTTTTGAGTGTTTGAATGTCTGGGGTTGGTGCATTTTAATATTTTCTGTTTTAATTTTGGTAGATTTGGTAAAAAATGGGAGACCGCAGAACTTTCCACCAGGACCACCAGGTGTGCCTTTTTTTGGAAACGTCTTCACCGGATTGGACTTCAAATCAATAAACAAGGTCAGAATATATTGTTTAGTTGAATTTGTTAAACATTAGAATAAACAAATCAGTTATAACATCATTGTAACCTTCAGAACTGAGAGGTTTGAATGCTGAACTAGCAAAACATATGAAAAAAGCTATATGCAACTACTGTAGTAGACTTCACTTAAAATTACACTTCCTGAAACACAACAATCTTGGACTGTTTGATGGAAAGATGACTGCATGCCAATCTATACCAATGCCCTCTGCAACCTCCACTCATCACTCACAAGCCACAAACTTCACACATAAATGTATAACAAAAATTCTTCTCTTNTTCACGTCTATCGTTCACAACTCCGAAAGCGATCCAAAACATCCAGATACTTGCACGACAATACGATGAAATCAACGCTTCAACAGCTTTCTGTTGACAAAAATATTGCGGCGTATGTAGCCCAATGCTTATCCCACACGCCGCGGCGGGCTAAGCACGGGGTAAAACACTGTGGACGCGTAACTCGGAACAAATGCATATACACGGTACTTGTTTGTCATATAGTAGGCATACGCGTTAGAGCACTTACTTTAAAGCTGCTGCCGTCCGTAGCCATGCACCGATACCTTCTATATGCAAATCTTTCCTGTTAAAATACGGTCAACAGAAAGTTGCTCCCCGTGCTCACCCCGCCACCATGATCCAAGCCTTACACTCAACAGGTGAGCGCGCGCATATATAGGCCACACCACACCCACCGTGCCACCCCCAGACACCGCAGTGTAGTGCACATTAGTCACGTGAGGAAACCAATAGAAAACCCACGAATGGCTCCTACAGGCATGATTAATCGATTAATCGATTAATCGAAAATTGATCATTAAGAATTTCATCGATTACGTTCATTTTAATCAACAAACCGAATGTAGGTTGCTGTGCGTAGCGTGACCAAACAGGGGTCCGTACGTGTAGCTCTTTGCACTCAGAAGGAGCGAGCAAACACAAACAGTCGGTCAGTCTGCAACGCAAATGCGTATTTAACGATGATTTGTACAAGAAATTCCACGCTTTCCGTTGTGTTCGGGACAAGTGTGAGGCCATGTGCACAGGTTAACAAAGCAGCACATATGTTTCGGTGTCCAGTGGGAAAAAGTTTTGCCAGGTGAGAGTCGAGCAATGTCAATGACGAGTCCCCACCTCCCTCCCCCCGTACGGTGTCCTGGTTTTGAAAAACGCAAATATGGTCACACTAACCTGTATTCCACTGAGTCATGTCTTTTAATCCAACAGAAGTTGACCGCATCAGCGACACAAGAGCTGTAGTTTTATCTTCACTGAGTTTATGCAAATTGGCGATGCGGTTTTAAGTTTCGTTTTTGTGAGAGTTGCGCAAAACTGCGTTAAACACATTATAATCTCAAACGGATTGATGTGGCTCTAGAGTCGTTACTGTTTATATGTCGTAAAGTTGAATTTATGTATGCAGGTTAGTAGTGCAGATAGTAATAATAATAATGATGATCATTTTAATATAAACACGTTAATGATTAATCGATAATTGATCGTTAATTCTTCCGACGATCGATTAAGAAAATTTCATCGAATGCCCATCCCTAGTCCTTATCTAACCCCAATACACCCTCCACCCCCCTCCTCTCCCCTTATTTTCTCTCTCAACCAGAGGTCCCAAAGGGTTATCAACATTTACAGCCTTATGTAACAGTTCCTGTTATTGTCCCAGCCTCTGCTCATTTACTTTTGCAGAAGCAGAGGAGCGGAGACAACATGATTTTCCAAACTCTTTTTGAGTGTTTGAATGTCTGGGGTTGGTGCATTTTAATATTTTCTGTTTTAATTTTGGTAGATTTGGTAAAAAATGGGAGACCGCAGAACTTTCCACCAGGACCACCAGGTGTGCCTTTTTTTGGAAACGTCTTCACTGGATTGGACTTCAAATCAATAAACAAGGTCAGAATATATTGTTTAGTTGAATTTGTTAAACATTAGAATAAACAAATCAGTTATAACATCATTGTAACCTTCAGAACTGAGAGGTTTGAATGCTGAACTAGCAAACATATGAAAAAAGCTATATGCAACTACTGTAGTAGACTTCACTTAAAATTACACTTCCTGAAACACAACAATCTTGGACTGTTTGATGGAAAGATGACTGCATGCCAATCTATATACCAATGCCCTCTGCAACCTCCACTCATCACTCACAAGCCACAAACTTCACACATAAATGTATAACAAAAATGACTTACTTTACTTACATTCTTACATTCTTCTCTTCAGCTTGCAGAGGAGTATGGCCCTATCTTCAGTTTGCGGAGAGGTCCTGAGAAAATTGTGTTTATTTCTGGATACAAGATGGTCAAAGAGTCTCTTGTCAACCAGCTGGACAGCTTCACGGAGCGACCAGAAATTCCTCTATTTCATGTCATTTTCAAAGGCCTCGGTGAGAAAATAGTACAATCAACCCAGATAATAACAATAATAGTGGTACTGTTATATTTGATCATAAACTCTTACAGGCATAGCTTTAAGTAATGGTTACTTATGGAAGAAGCAAAGGAAATTCGCCAACATACATCTACGTTATTTTGGAGAAGGACAGAGGACTCTGGAAAAATACATTGAACAAGAATGTCATTTCCTATGTGAGAGCTTCAAAGAGGAGCAAGGTAATTGGATGATAAAAATAGGTACTATTTAAGATTATAGGTGCATTTAAAATTTACTGTTGAAAATTTAAGCAGTGTAATAACTTTTGTTTCCAGATATATCAGATATTTTGGTGTTTCCCTTCTATCAGTCTACTGCCTCTTGGTTGCATTTTTGACAGAAGATATATTGCGCAAATTCTAACATCTAACAAAAGCTAACGTAGAAAAATACTAAAAAGTGTATAATAACTATTTTTGGTATGATACAACTTCACTTTATTCAAAAAATTGCTCAAGGAAATGTTTTAATGTATCTGCCCAACTGTGACTGAATATGTATTTCACCTGCATCACTGAAAACCATAATGATTTATAATGTATTTCTACTTAAACTATCTCACATTAAGATGATTATTTGTTTCCAGGGAGACCTTTCAATCCCCAGGCCACTATATCTAACGCTGTTGGCAACATCATCAGTTCAGTGGTGTTTGGACGCCGCTTTGAGTACACAGACGAGAGCTTTCGTAGGATTCTTCAGCTGGACTCTGAGGCTGTTAGTTTGGCTGGCTCTTCTATTGCTCAAGTAAGTTTTTTTTTTTTTTTTAAAGGGCTTAAAACATGTCTAACTGCTATCTAGAGATGAGATGAGACACAAGATTGAGAAATGTGCTAAAATGTCTCTTAAAATGTATAAATGAAATGTGAAAGGACAATATAATTACACACATAAGAGCAAAAATATTAATATACTCTTATGAACATGAGTTTGTTAAATTTCTATAATAAATCAGTTATTCTTTTAAACAATAAAGCTGATTTTCAAATTTGGCGTATCTGCGTAGTTCCTATATTTTATAAACTGTAATTTATTTGTGCAAAATGTTATATTTAGTTGAAGGAATGTCCTCATCTAACCCCCATCCAGGCATGCAGACACAGCCCCCACACTCTCATCTGGTTTTCTCTTTGCCTTTAATGGTCCCAAATGGTTAACACTATCATTTGTCTAATAGCTGTTAGTCTTGATTAATTTTTGAACACTCACCTTTGTATCTTTCTTCAGTTGTATGATGTGTTCCCTGGTCTGATGAAGTACTTGCCCGGGCCACATCAGAAAGTCCACAAGAACTATTTTCAGATCCTAGACTTTCTGATGGCAGAAATAAAGAAACACCAGGAGGAAGTAAACCCAGATGATCCTCGTGACTATATCGACGTTTACCTGGGAGAGGTGGAGAAGGTGAGACAAGACAATTGCTTGAAAACTACAAGTCTAAATTCATGATGTTATTGCTAGGGGCAGTAAAATCACTATTATTAAATTGAAAATGTTCTGGTTTGGTTGGTTCTGACCAAATAATGAATGTGGTTAAAATAAAGCATCATGTTTAACATTTAATGGTGTCATAAGTAGGTGACTTGTTCAGATGACTACTCTTTAAACCTTTGATGTCATCGTTCTTTTAAATTTTTTAAATATTAATGCCATGACTGTAGCCTGTTGATTCTTATTTCTACTTTATTTAATGCTTTGTTATGAACAGATCAACAGTGACATGATGTAAGAATGGTTGAGCATCAATATTCATTCATGTTTCATTTGATTAGAAGAAGGAGGACCCCCTTGCTGGCTTTAATGTAGACACTCTGCTGGTGTGCACTTTAGACCTGATGGAGGCCGGGACTGAGTCAACTACTACAACTCTGCGCTGGGCCATGGTCCTCATGATGAACTACCCAGAGATACAGGGTTAGTTCTTCACAGAGGGTGCAATGATAAGACCACTGTGGGGTTTGGAGGTTTTACTTCAGAGATCTGTCACTGCACTGTAAACAGCACAGATAAAATGCAAAGGTGGTTTGACATCAGCTTCTGTGCCTAAACAAAAAGTGACGCTTACACCATATTTATAATTATAATATGATCAGAAACTAGTCAAACTAGTTAAACCATTCTCTCTCAGTAGAAGGGTATGTGCACAGGGACCCTGCCATAGTAGCCAACTATTTCCCTATCCTTAAGAAAAAAATATCAATAAACAATTTAAAACTAAATATTACAGCTTCGTTTGAATAAAAATGGGTAAATAGGAAGCTGAATGGTTTTGTAGCGGTTACTTGTGTATTGATATTTAAACCAGACTTTGCAGTTTATGCTTTGTCTCTCAGCCAAAGTGCAGGCAGAGATAGACGCTGTGATCGGACAGTCTCGACAGCCCACCCTCACAGACCGCCCTGAGATGCCCTACACAGACGCAGTGATCCACGAGGTGCAGAGATTTGGAAATATTGTGCCTCTGGGATTCCCTAAAATGGCCAGTAAAGACACCACATTGGGTGGATATTTTATACCCAAGGTAATTTGTGACTGTATTATGTTTCTAAATTGTTTTGGAGTTTAGGTTTCAAGGTAGAGTTAGATTGCTTTTTTGTTGGTTCATCATCAGCACCATTTACATTAAGGGCCTGTAGTACATTCAGACCATATCATTCAAATTCAAAGTTGGCTTTTAGCAATAGGCCTGAAAATGAAATTAAATAGTAAAAACCTGAAAACACAAAGATAATGTGTAAGTAAGGGTTTTATAGAATAAACAATGAATACTTTGTTTGTAAAACACTTAATGCACTCTTTCAGGGAACAGTCACAACCTCAAATCTTGCATCCGTGCTTTTTGACAAGAACGAATGGGAGACGCCTGATGTGTTTAACCCTGGGCACTTTCTGGATGCAGAGGGACGTTTCCAAAGAAGAGATGCATTTCTTCCATTTTCTGCAGGTACATTTCTCACATGTTACGACTGTGCATCTTAATTATTGTTTGTAAAAGAGTATGATCTCTCTGCAGGTAAGCGTGCATGTTTGGGGGAGCACTTAGCTAAGATGCAGTTGTTCCTGTTCTTTTCGGCAATAATGCAGCGCTTCACTCTGACCACACTCCCTGGAGAGATGCCCAGTCTGGTCGGGGTCCAGGGGTTCACAAATGCCCCTGAACAGTTTCGGGTGATGGCAGTGCCACGCTAGACCTGGAAAAAATATGGAAAACGTATTACCATTATCAACACCTACAGTAATATAACACCAGCATGTACATGTATCTACATTTAAGTAAACTTGAATTCACAGAGCAATCAAAGGCAGAAATCATTGTACTATAAATAAAGGAGCAAAAATATGTAGAAATATTTCATGCATTTTAGTGTAATTTATGTAATATTAAGTGACATTTTTTGAGAGAATGGTTTTAGGTTGAAAATTCACATGACATTTGAACCAGATTTTTAACTTGACCTAATGCTGCAGTTACACTTGACCAAACTGGCAATAACACTGCACTAAGTTCACTGTGAAACTGACTTATCTGACAATAAACATTTGCTTGGTGCCATTTAACAAACCTTTGCCTCTTACCTTGCTTTTCTGATAAGATACAAATAAAGTTTATTTATACAGCACTTTTATAGACATAGGTCACAAAGTGCTTCACATGCCAAAGGTAAAAAAAAACCTCAGATACATTTATAATAACATCAGTCATAACAGCCCTAAACATAAGGAAACACGGGGGGACACTTGCTCAAAGAGGAACGTTTTCAGCTGCCTTTTAAAAGTATCTACACTATGTACAGAGCGTAAGTGAGGAGGCAATTAGTTCCAGAGTTTAGACAGCTTGAAAGGATCTGTCTCCTTGCTTTTTGAAGCTGCTCCATACGACCATAAATGACAAGCACCAATGTATTCATGTGATAGTTTTAACATGAGACAAATATGAAGATCGTTCTTTTTCTTTCTTTTTTAGAATTGCATTATTACCCCCCTTTCTCAAGATAAATACCAAGAGGAGGCCTGGGTACATTTTTCACTTATAATGAAAATGTATGTGTTGTCAAAAAATCAGCATACAAACTAGTGGAAAGAATAATTCTGAAATAAACAATATTCAAACCAGATATAAACCACATAAAAAATATGATTATAAATACCTAGACCAATACAGAACTATAATGGATAATGCAATATTAGTAAATTAGGTTCAAGGTCCAAAAATATTTAGAGTCACGAGCATAAATTGATCTTTATGTTTAGACTGATGAAGACATAAGATATAGTTTTACAGATAGCTTGGAAAAACTAGTAGTCATTAGTGGTTCTAAACCATGCTGATAAGCTATTGGTTTAACTTTCATTTGTACAATAAAAAAATAAAAAATAAATAAATCACCTTTATTACTCCTTATGAGTGAAGCTTTGCCTGGGCTTGTTTGGGCCAAATGCAAACCTACATTCTGCCTGAACTTGAATTAACCCTGGGAACTCACAGTGGAAATCTGTGTGATCCACCCAACGTGAACTTTACCTCCTTTCACCTGCTTTTGAGTGCTTTGTCATCATTATGTAATTTTAACCGTGGCTTAGTCTCAGACTACACCTCAAATGTATTGTATTGGACTTGAACCATAATGTACTACATAAAAGAAAGCTTTAAAAAAAAAAAATCTAAATAAGTAGGCATAACTACATGATCACAGTAAATGGACACTCAATATAGCTGCATACAACACTATATTAGCAACATATTATTTTACTTTACTAATTATTATGTATTTATTATCATTTCAGTACATTCTTAAACTCAAATACATGTTATTGTGACCTTAGATACCCTTGAATCACAACCAAATGAATAGATAAATACAACACAGATAAGTATGTAAAATGAAGACAGATGTGACTTAAAAATGTATAATTTAAATTTATTCAACACAAAAAAGGGCAAAAGGAACAGGTAAAATTACTTATTCTATAAAAAGGGAGACAGGCATATTGTTAAAATTTATAAAAAGACAAATTTCATAAACGGTAATAAATTAAAATAAAACCTTGCAGCCCCTGGGCGGAAGAACCAAATCTGCAACAAACAAAAAAATTAATTTTACAAATAAATAAACAAGGACGACTTGAAAGGGGGTAGCCCCACCCAGAACAAAACAGAAAGTGCTACCATGCAATCACATCTAAAATAACTTAAAATCCAAAGTGCAAACGAAAAGGTACAGGCGAAACCCCTCTCAAGCACTTCCTGGGAACTTAAATAACGAAAAGCTAAAAGCCCAGGGACGGCAATGCTAAAAACACACATTTATTAAAAAGGCGCAATATATAGAGCTAAGATACTGACATAAAACAAAACCCTAAACAAAACAAAACTGTACAACAATAAAACAAAGCAATACAAAAAAACTAAACAAAACAGTAGCAGACCACTTTAAGATAAAAAGGACAGACTGAGATTAAAACCATGTTAAAAACCCTGAGTTAAAAAGATGCCAGATGCTATTTGCACCCTGGGTGTAAATAGCTAACATTGTTATTCACACATAGGGCAAATAGCCATTGTTGCTATTTACACCCGGGTGTATTTAGCGTGGCACACAGAAGGGCACCCGGGTGTTCCTTGACAAAAATGCTATTTACACCCATCTTATTTATTTAAAAAAAACAAAAAAAAACAAAAACCAAAACAAAAAAAACTCACTGACAGTGCAAACATAAACCCACAAGCCCAGAGAAAATCAGTAATATTTGATGGTTTTTTTTTACTCAAAATGATGCGGAATCATCGATCAATTATTTGCAGTCTGCACATCATTATTCCCATTATACATTAATCCCGGTTAAATCCTGTTTTAGTCCTGGTTTAGACTTGGTTTTAGTCCTGGTTTAGAACTGGTTTTAGTTCTGGTTTAGTTCTGATTTAGTCCTGGTTTTAGTCCTAGTTTTAATCCTGGTTTTCGTCCTGGTTTAGTCCTGGTTTTACTTCTGGTTTAGTTCCGGTTTAGTCCTGGTCTCAGTTCTGGTTTAGTTCTGGTTTAGTCCTGCTTTAAGTCCTGGTTTTAGTTCTGGTTTAGAGGCGCACGGGAAGAGGCATGGTCCATGCGCTGTATGAGAAAACACGCGGCGTACGGGAGGAAACTCGGCTTATGGGAGCGTGAGGAGACGCATACGGTCTATGGGTAACGCCAAGGTAAGGGACCTCGATTGGTTTGCGGGGCCCTACTCAATGTGCGTACTGTGCGTATTGGGTAAACCGGTACTGACACTATCATGCAGTGTGACAGCGTGGAGCCATGTGAAAAAAAATCCACGATAACCAACGGGTTTGGAAAGGCTGGACTGCTGCGTGATGAAGAGGACAACGCGTAAGGGAGAATTTGCCTGGAGACGAAAGTAACACGGGAGCCGACGTAAATAAAATGACTGTACATGAGTGAAATGACTGTTGAATAGAGATGCGCTAAACCTGCACACGTACAATCTGCACATGTATGATCTCTGTAAAATTTTACATGAACCATCTCCAGAATAGACTCACCACTGCCCGACAGAAGCTCCACATCAGGGCACAGAGCGAACTGTTTTTTCAGCGGGTATTTTATACAGATTAGCCTTGTGGAGTTAGGTTTCTTTTTTATGCGCAAAGCTGCATTAAACAAGGTCACAATTTCATATAAATCATCCTCATCCAAGTGCTGCAACAACTTATAACTTATTCCATCTTGTCCTGGTGTTGTGTTCGCTCCAGCCTGTATTGCCTCTTCCAACTCTTTTAAAGAAAGAACAAGTTTTATGAGCCATTAATAGCCACGCCTCCAGTCAACTTTGAACTCTTTTTACTTAGAGTATTATGTCTTAGCCTTAAAATTTCCTCCCCCAAGTACTTGAAATTATGGATATCCTTAAAAACATTTACACACGTCAGCTTTTTCTTTACTATTAACAGCCTCCTTTTGAACATTGGACAATGCTGGAATTGTAGTGCTGACCCTTTTTGCAGCCATTCGGCGAATCCTTCCCCAGAACTGAAGTGACGGAGTATCTGGTCCTAAGGTGCCACAAAAGTTCCTCCTACTTTTCCTCCTTTCAGCCTTAATAACTTTCCTTGCTACTGCTCTGCACTTCTTATATTCAATAACATTATTGAGAGTAGGAAAGGTCCATGCATATCTCTATGCAGAGCTTCTTTTCTTTACAGCTCACACTCCTTATTCCACCAGGGGACAATACTACGTTCCTGTGGAGTTTTCCTAAGAGGGATAGAGTCAGAAGCAGCCCTCATAATAAGTGCCGTTAGAGTCTCACAGTACTCATCTATTGAACTATTACTATTAACATCTTCTAACCCAGGGGTGGGCAAACTTTTTGGCTCGCGGGCCATATAGGGTCCTAAAGTTTGGCTGAAGGGCCGGACAGAAAATAAGACATAACGTGTTAAGAGCTCGACTTCATTACATCATCACGTTTATGTAGAACTTCAGACGCTTCGACATTTCTGTGAACGATTCAGACACATAAAAGTGAATAAATCTGTTCCACTGCACACGACAGGGAAATAAACATCATGAGCTCAACGTTGTAAAACTGGACACTATGAAGTTGCACATATTGACATTTACATCTCAGAATCTTCAAGTTTTCAAAGTTTCATTTTTACCACCTTAAAATGGAAGCAGTGCAGTCTTATAACTTGAACACAAACTACTTCACTCATGGTCCGAATAACTCCTGTAAGAACACTTTCACATAAAGCATTGCGGCCAATATAATACACCGCACCTCAACGTATATGTAGTGCGCCATCTACTGGGAAACGATGGAAATGCATGACAAATAAAACATCAACAAGGTTTATTTTTGTAATTTCTTCCAGTTCGGCGGGCCGGATTAAAAGGTTTAAAGGGCCGTATACGGCCCCCGGGCCGTAGTTTGCCCACCCCTGTTCTAACCCTACCAATGCACACTCTCTGAACTTACCCCAGTCAGCTAAGGAAAAATGTAACCTAGCGCTTCTTTCTCCATCTTCAACCAGTGTGTTACTTCCCTCGAGTTTAAACCAGGCTCAAAGTCATTCTTTTGGTTTTAACAAGCATTTATTCGACTCCAGTCTTTCACATGTCTTTACATGTAAATCAACCTTAATGTCGACACATGCTGTCAGAACTATAGAAAGATAAAAAGAAACTTAAAATTAACCCTCAGATACAAAACAGAAGTAATTACACAATAAAATAACACAAATGTACCTAATTGGCCACATCCACTCAAAGGGAATAAAGTCTTGTACTTTGAAACCTTTTGTGTCTTTCAATTAAGGTTGTGCAGCCGTAAAAACGTCCCCTCAAAACAATATGCAATTGGAAGTGGAGAAAATTAACTAAGATAAAATGAAATTAATTAACATGAATTTACAGAAAAAATTACTTATTTACGCTATATATTGCTTTTTAAAATATTCTACTATATATCTCAATATGAATATAATTTATTATAAAACATTAACTTAAATGTATGACAGCTGCCACTGACGGCAGCTACACAGTG